TGTACCAGTTCATGCTTTGGGTCGAGTGAATCTTGGGCATAACTTAACCTTGGAACGGGTTCTGGGTGTACTTGAATTTTGCTTTAATTTACTATTTGTGAGCAAAATAACTCATGACTTAAACTGTCTTCTCATTTTTGGGTTTGAATTTTATGTAATATAGGACTTACACTTGAGGAAACTAATTGGAGTGGGTAGAATACGGAATGGATTGTACCATTTAAAGCCAATGAGGGCGGGCAAGGCATTTTTGGCTAAAAGCAAAGATACTGGCAAAGATATTGTGATTTTGTAGCATTATTGATTAAGGCACATTCCTTTGGATTGTCTTTCAATGGTTTTGAATTTATCTATTAATTGCATTAGAAAGGACAATTTTCTTTGTGATGTATGTTGTAAGGCAAGACAAACCAAATTACCTTTTCTGAATCATAAGAATAAAAGTCAGCATACTTTTGATTTAATTCACTGCAACATTTGGGGTCTTTATCAAACCGCATCTTTTTCAGGATCACACTATTTTCTTACTATTGTTGATGACTACAGTAGGGCAACATGAGTTTTTCTCATGAAGCATAAATTAGAAACTAAAAATCTCTTTTTTTATTTTTTTCAGTGGGTCAAGACATAGTTCAATACACAAGTAAGGATATCGCGAACAGACAATGGGATGGAATTTAAACATTAGGATTTGGTGGACCATTACTTTGAAAATGGTATGGAAAGACAAACCAGTTGCACAAACACACCTTAACAAAATGGTGTGGTGGAACGTAAACATTGCCATCTTTTGGAAGTGGCTCATGCACTTCAATTTCAAGCTAATCCTCCCATCACTTTTTGGGGAGAATGTGTGCTTATTTCAGCATATCTGATCAATCACATGTCGCTCTCAGTCATAAAGAACAAGACTCCATATGAGAAACCGCTTGGTCAACCTTCGACTTATGATCATCTAAGATCACTTGGGTGTCACTATTATGGGCATGTCAACAATAAATCGCGTGATAAATTTGCCTATTATAGTAAACCAGGTATCTTTGTTGGTTATCCTTCAGGATAGAAAGGATATCGCATATATAATCTTGAAAGTAAAAAGATTTATGTTTCACGAGATGTGAAATCTTAGGAAGAAATATTTCCTTTTGGTAAGATCGATGAGAAAGTAAATAATCTAATTGCTGAGCAAACATCTTATGCAAAGAGCACTTCGCTTAATTCATTTGATGAATCACCAAGACACTCTAATCTAGAGAATATAACACAGTAAAAGCATACTGAAAGCTGACTTGCTAGTCCATAGCAAGCTCATCATAAACTTAGGTTGGCCAAACATGATGATATAGAAACACCAATGGGTCGCAAAGTCAATAGCCCAAACTTAAGGACAAGGACTTCACATGATTCATCTTTGAGATACAAGCCTTCAGTCCTAGTTTGGAGTCCCATTTTGAGCCCTTAAAAAGATAAGGTAAACCAAATTCCTAGTGCACCTGATTCTCTTATGTTGAACCAAGGATAGATATTCAAGAAGTTAATGTCCATTCAACACATGATGAACAACACAATATTGTTTCTGCCAAACGACAATGACAAGTTTCAAAGAAACTTTCTAATTATGATTATACATTGCCCCTTCACTTGCTTCTGCTTCACATTCTTCACCTCATGCAGCTAACTCGATGATATATCCTTTTTCTCCTTATTCCAAAATTTCTAGAGCTCACAATGTATTTCTAGCGGCCATCTCTACTATCGATGAGTTGAAGTCATTTTTTCAGGTAGTTAAATCACAACACCAGTGTGATGCTATGGCCAAGGAGATAATAGCATTAGAAGCAAACAATACCTGGACCTTGACATCTCTGCCTCTAGGGAAGTGAGCCATTGATTCCAAATGAGTGTACAAAACCAAAAACAATCTAGATGGAATAGTAGAACGTTATAAAGCATGGCTAGTTGCCAAGGGATATACTTAGATTAGAGGGGTGGATTTTCATGAAACCTTTGCTCCAATTACGAAATTGGTCAAGGTATGCTGTCTTTTAGTAGTCGTTATAGTTTGTAAATGGGAATTGCACTAATTAGATGTTAACAATGCCTTCTTACATGGTGATTTAAAGGAAGAAGTCTATATGAAAATACCTCAAGCCTTGACTAAGGAGGGGGAGCCGCGAGTTTGTTGTCTCAAGAAATCTCTCTATGGGCTTTGACAAGCATCACAAAATTGGTACCAAAATTCACTAATTGTCCAATCTCATGCTGATTATTCTTTGTTTACATATTCGGCCAAGGAATCATTTGTTGCAGTATTGATCTACGTTGATGATGTTATAGTAACAAGGATTGACACACTCAAGATTGCTTAACTAAAAGCTCAGTTGGATCATGAGTTTTGTATGAAAGATTTGGGAATTGAGGTAGCACAATCTCCGTCTAGTATTATCTTAATCCAAGGAAAATATGTGCTTGATATATTGGCAGATAACGGACTCACTGGTTACAAAGTTGCATCAACACCCTTAGACCAACAAGTCAAGCTAGATCTTGATATAGGTCCTCTTTGTTCGGACCCGGGTAGTACAGAAGGATGATTGACTAATTGTTATATCTCACAATTACATGACCTGATATCAGTTTTGTTGTTAACATGTTAAGTCAATTTATGCACTGTCCGAGTCAGCTTCATTTAGATGTAGCTTTGCGTGTTCTTAGATACTTGAAAGGGTCTCCAGGTCAAGGTTTATTTCTTCCCACTCATAGTTAGTTAATCCTTTGAGCTTATTGTGATGCAGATTGGGAAGGTTGCCCACCAACACGTAGGTCAACTACTGGACACATTATCTTCTTTGGTTCATCTCCTATCTCATGGCGGTCCAAGAAAAAGTCAGTTGTCTCTCGTTTCTTTGCAAAAGCAAAGTATAGGGCCATGGCTAATACAGCAAGTGAGATTGTGTGGCTTCTCAAGTTATTGGTAAATCTACATGTCTCACATTCAACACTGGTTAAACTATTTTGTGATAATCAGGCGACAATCCATATTGTAGTAAATCCAGTCTTTCATGAGTGTACTAAACATATCGAGATAGATTGTCATTTTATTAGGTAGCATATCTAGTCTAAGACTCTTGTTCCACGGTCAATTTCATCACAGTTTCAATTGGCATATATTTTCACCAAGGCTCTTGGACGGAATCGATTCCATGACTTATTGATCAAGTTGGGCATTGCAAATCAACATGCTCCAACTTGAGGGGGGCTAATGAAGGCTATCTCAATGCTATCTCAACTAGTGATCTTAGTAGTGAAGGCTATCTCAATTAATGATTCTAATTTGTCGTGATTGATATGATGAAGACCATTTCAATTAATATGATTTGGTTGACTTGGCTATTTTAATTGACTTAGTGATTCTAGTTGTAATTTTCCTTAATTATAGGCTTGGTCATATAACGTTAGCTTGATCTAAGGAATTTCTCTTTATTGGATAGATTATTTTTCTTTTTGTATTGACAATAAAACTTGTATATAACCACTTAGTGACTTCTTAATAAAATCATCCAAAGGAGTATTCAAACTCTTCAGTTTCTATGTACTGTTTATATTTTTTCTCAACCAATAAAACTGGATTTCATTAATAAGCTGCTCAACACAGCAAGGAAGCAGAGAAAACTGCTCCAAAGAGTACAAATACCCGAGCTTCTTTTTTTTTTTAAATTATTTTATGAAAGGCTATGAAAGTGATTTCATTGCTTGAAGAATGAGTACAAAAACAAGTTCATTGAGGTAGAAAAACAGCCAAATGATATAGGATAGGACCCAACATGAAGTGAGCTGTGTTTAGCCAAGGAAACAAACCAAAAGCTGACAGAGCACCCACTAAAACAGATGAAAAAACAGAGCCATCATCCTAGTATCCACAAACAGCAGCTCCCCGGTTAATCAAAAATATCCCAGTAAGCCTCAGGTATCTTTCTGCCAGAATCATACTCATAGATCAAATAATCTGTGCATCAGAACCAGAAGAAAAAGCCCACCCTTGACTATTATGTAATTTTCAGTCCAAGAAGAAAGTCTCCATTCAGAATTGAAAACCAGCATCAAACAATGAAAAAGAGAAGTTGTGGCTGGTTTCTCACGTTATGAAACTGCAAAATTGCAAATTCATACCATCGCAACCCACTCATTACACATTTCGCGATTTCAGCAGCCACCCATTCAGCAACACACCTTCAACTTTTGAACCCTTAGCGCCCATCATAGCAGTTTGTACCCAACGTGGCTCCCTGCTGCGCAAAGAAACCAACAAGTATCATGAGGACTCCCATTTACCAGCATACAAAGCACATAAATACAAACAGAGTGAACAAAAGTAGCTGGCACGAATTAAACCAACAGTAATCTTTTAAAATTTTCATCTTTAAATATTTGTTGCTAATATGATTATTTTAAAATTAATTTTAAACAAATCATATAAACAATACATTCCTCCCCATATTTATCAGTTAATATGGTGCAAATTTGAGGACCATAATTAATATCTCTTACTCAATAATTAGATTTCTTGTTAAATTGTTTCTTTTTTTCCTTTCAATTTGATTGAAGGTTTGTTTGACTATAAAAAGAAATGCACTCCACGGAGATCAAACTTTTATTTGGCTAAGAATCCAGTAGCATGTCTAGGAGACACTTAGTTTTAGTATATAACTTTTGAATTTAGTATATGAAAGATCAGAGAGATCATGGATTTTTACTTGATTCTGCAGGGCATTGCTCTTGCAGTCTGACTCTAATCTCACGAGTGATGGTATCACTTGGAAAACTCAGGAACTCATTTTAAGGTTTGCTATTGAAAAAAGTCATGAAACTTGTCAAGACTACAGTGGTATGAACATTGTGAAGAAGAAAAAGGAACCATGTTTCATGCTCATTTGGTCAGATGAGGAATTATGTACTTAAGATATTTGATCATCCAAATAGCAAAACTATCTAAAGGAGCTTTAAACATATGCACTAGGCCAGCGATAGCTAGCTTTTATTTGGTCTACAAAGGAAATGTAAATGGAGCTCGGAAATAAGGCTGGGTTTGGGGGAATAGGGACCTCAACAGCCCCTTCCATCATCTGTACTGCCTTCTTCATTGTAGGTCTCAAAGATGGATCCTCCTGAATGCACCATATTGCAATCATCGCAAATTTCTTTACCTTTTTTATTTCATCTGTTGCCTCTTCATCATTCTCCACTAGAAGCTGCAATTTCCCTTCCATGAAACAGTCATATGCCCAATCAACCAATATCATCTGATCTTCTCCCTTCACATTTTGCTCAAAATTCTTTCGACAACATATGAGCTCCAGCAACAAAATGCCAAAGCTGTAAACGTCAACTTTGACTGTAATAGGCATGTTTCTGAACCATTCAGGGGCGACATATCCTTTGGTTCCTCGGATTGCAGTAGTAGTTCGAGTTTGATCTTTCTTCAAAAGCTTTGCTAAACCAAAATCTGAGATTTTTGCTGAAAAGGAGTCATCTAGAAGGATGTTTTGAGGCTTGATATCGCAATGAATGATTTGGGAGCTACATTCTTCATGCAGGTAAAATAGCCCTCTTGCAATTCCGAAAGCTATCTCTATTCTTTGGTACCAGTTGGGTCTTGCGTTTGCAAACAAGAATTTTGGTAAAGAACCAAAAGGCGGTTCTGTCTTCAAAAGAATTTTGCAAACAGCAATCTCTATCCTTTTCCAATTTGCTGGAAACCAAAAGCAAAATCACCTGAAGGCGATGTCCACGAAGAGTTATCATTTTGTGCATAGAGGGATGAGCCCAAAGATATATTGCTATAACTTTGAGCAGTGGCTGACAATGGTAGTAGCAGAAAAAGCAGGAAAAAGCAAAAAGAATATAGTAGTCTAAAAAGCATGATGCTAAGGGTGCTCTCTTTCTGAAAATTAAAGAAGCTATGTATGAGTTAACAACGGAGAGTACTGATGAACATGAAAATGCTACACTTTCCTTTCAAAAAAGAGTTTCGAGTAGTAACCATGAACCATCTATACATGCAATCTGGTCTAATTCCAACTCCTATCAGGATTCCTGATCCTCTGCCGGCCTGAAAAAAAAAAACAAAAAATTTGGAAACAACTTAATTTCTTTGGCAGCTCATGTGCATGATTTCTATGCGGCAGGAGAGCGAGGCGACGATTGCGGGACTTATGAAATTAAGTTTTATAATTAATTATATGTTGACTTTTCTTCTACGTTATTTATTATCATAATTTATTGTCTACAATTTTGAGCCAGTCATTGTCCAAAATGGCCCTGCCATGGATACCGTTAAATATAAGGATAAAATACCCCAACATCTTTTAAGTTTTAATTAAAATTTTCGAAACGTTTGTTAGTTTTTTATATAGATATTCCATTTTAAAAGAAATTTTTTATTAGACACAAATCCAACCATTAGTTAATTGTTAATGTTTTTATTAATTTGATGACGTGATAATATTGAAATGATAATTTTACTTTTTATTAAGCTTAAAAATTACTATCATATTTTTTTTGAAAAAAATTAAAAAACAAAACACCGATTGATTAAAATTACAGTTAGTCTTTTTATAATATCTGTTAATGGTGTTTATTCTTTTGAGACAGAGTGTTTATTTTAAAATTAATTGATCTACTTGAAATTTAGATTAAAACTTAAGAGTATGAAAATATTTTACCTTAAATATAAACGTAGAAGGCGAAAGAGCAGTCGTGCGAATTTCTTTATTGTTGTTTATAGACAATTCATTGTCTTGGAGCATGGATTTTTATAACGGATGCAAGTGTTATTTTTAATCTTAAATTAGTTCATTTACCACAAGGTATATTCTTTAATAAATTTATTGAAACTTTAGTTAATTTGATTATACTATGCATTAAGTTCAGCTTCAATTTCGTATTCGAGAGCTTGAGTTTTCTCTTCTCAAAGTAAGTAAATCTTTTTAGTATTTTATATTTTATTAATTATCATCATAAGTTATTTGATTAGATTATCATTGAATCAATTTGATGCGAGATTTGGATCTTAAAACCCCAAATATGAGTCTGTCCATGTAAATATAAAAAAATGCAATAAATTAATTATAGTAAATTCAAGAAAAAATTTATAGCAAGTTATAATAAAAGTTCCAAAAGTTATAAAACAAAATATTAAAAAAAATTCACAAAAGCAAATTAATTTAGAAAACAGAAATAAAAAAAAACTTTAGAAATATTTCAAACAAGATAAAAAATTCTAAAATTCAGAAAATATTAAAAATAAATAAGAAGAAGAAAAAAAATGGGATTGGAGGGGGAAGTACGTCCCCCCTTCTTGATTGGCTATCTTGGCAAAGCATAAGTGGCCAAAAGTGGGCAGCTCCGGGGACAAAATAATAGACTATTATCAATTAAGTTTTTCGTTGAAAATTTGTCAGAAAAAGACTATTTTTGACCGAATGTTACTCGTAGGAAAACATGTGGTCATGTTTTACCCATTCATTGTCTCAATGTAAGGGCAGTATTTAACACCATTCTATAAATTAAATTTCAATAGGATTTTAGCAAAAATATTTAGTTGTACAATTGAAACTTTAGCTAACAAAATTATCAATTTGAAAAAAGATAATAAAGATAAAATATAGGGTGATATTAGGGTTAATTAGTAATTACAAATAGGAGTTAGAGCTTAGAACCATCTCTTATTTTATAATGAAAAAAATAAAGGGAATGGAAGTAGAGAAATTCCCAGACATCTTTCTCGGCATCCATAATGATTAGTTGTTTCATAAACTAACAAAGGAAAGGAAGGAATATATCGAATTCAATGAAATAATTTACTTAGGTCTGGTCAAAACTATGATGATAAGTTCGTTAATTAAATTTAAAACGAAATTTAAATTAAAAACAAATGTAAAAGTCGAAAATTGAAAGCCCAAATTTGCTCTCAAGCAACCTTGTCTTCTTCTTAATTTCAGATTTGAAACGCATAGATTCCATGATCAAGCTTGCTTTTCGGTTTGAAGATTGACGTACTTTGTGGGTCAACCCATCAGGACAAAGTCCAAAACACTTTCTCCGTCAAGGCACGAGGCCAGGACTTTGGCTTAAGTTGTAGCCATGGAAATTGAGCTAATGAGCTCCTTCAGAATTCAGAGTCAAAAGGATGATCGTTTTTGATTTCGTCAACCAATCCAGAAAGCTAAGCCCATCAATCATACCCATGGATGAGGTTTGATTTGCACTGCTTTTTACTTAGACCAATACTTTGCATTTTATTGAACAAACATTTAATCAAATTCAACTTGAAATTGCATCCAATGCTCAAAAGTCTTATATTACATTTTTAATGGCCAAGAACGTCAAGTTATTTAAATCTTTCTCTTTTAATATGTGGAGTACAATTAAGTAATTCTTATATATCTTCGCTTAAAAGCAGAATTCAGCCTTCTCATGGCTCAAATTCATTAAACAAATGGTAGAAGGAGAAATTTTGTTATCCAATTACAAGATGTCACACGTTCAAAGTTAGTAAATTGAAGAAAATTTTTAAAAATGAATCTTGTGTCACCACATGAACTTTGTTGGGAAAGGTCCGGCCATGCATCATAATGCAAATAACATAAAACAAACAAAATACAAATGCAACGAAATAACAATTAAAATCAAATGATATGCAGTGCAATAAAACACACGTGATCTAATCATTACCTTGGTTACAATGGAAAGTTAGATTCCTTGTAAGGTTTAGGGTTCAGGGTTCACAAAGGAAAAAAAAAATTTAAAAATTTCCTCCAAGAGACCTCTTACCAAGCACGGATGTTGAAAACTAAAGCTATTTAAGAAATTTTTGTACAGCCTCTAATGAAAATCCACAAGGTGAACGGAGAAATCGCTACAAGAGGGTGGGATTGCCAAGTTTTCAATGTGCTAGCAAGATGTATTTGAAATGTTATTCCTTTCCTTTCACCTTGGCCAAAAACAACAAGAGAAAACAAAATTTTCTCTCTCACACTGACAAAGGGCAGCAACACTACTCACTAGTGTTGAGTAATGGCTGGGTTACTTGGATAAGTAGCTTAAGCAATACCATGGACCAATTTCAGCCTTAATGGCCTTTTCCATGTAATTGCTGTTGTTGGATTTACCACGCAAATGCATGTATTATTAACAAGTAATATAATAGAAAGTAAAGTATCATTCCCATAGAGAGTTGTACCAAAATCCTTTGCTTCCCACAGAGAGTTGCACCAAAATCCTTTGCTAAGTACTAAAATTAATACAACTTAATCTTATCCAAACAACCGATTTTAAAAACTACTAAAAATTAATTAGAACAAAGAACAAGAATCGCAATTTAAATAGAATTTCAACAAAAAAGAACCTAGAAGTACGATATCTCTTCAACACTTCAATTGTATCTGTTCTACTCTCTCTTTACTTACTAGATAGTTGAGTTATTAACCTAGAATTCTAATCTATTTATAAGTCTCTGTCGAGTTCTTATATAAAAATCTCTCTTAACCAATTCTCTATATGTCTATGCAAATTGCAATTAAGAAAGACTTATTAAGCTTAGATTCTAATATTGATTACATATGACATGCAAGTGTATGTCTACCTTACACATGAATCAAATCAATTATCTTATACAATTGATATTGAATATATGTTATTTCATTCAAGGCTTACACTAAACTCTCTTTCTTAATTCCATTTAGGTTACCCTATTAATCTAATTGGTGATCAATCAATCAAACATATTGAGAATAGGATTGAAATAAACAACTCAAACACTATCAATCATAAGAAAAAGAGAAAATTAAGCATTCAAACTGCATGTTGGGTTTAATTGCAATTCTAAATAAGAAAATTAGTTCATCATAGCTACTAAAAACATCATCCAAAAAAGTTGAACCATAAACACAAAACAAAGAAAGTATAAAAAGAACTAAAGAAGAAAAGAAAACTTGGATTCGTCAGATCTTCGATCTTCAATCTCCAAAAGTTTCTCTCTACTTTCTTGCTTGTTTGATGTCTATTTTGGTTCAGAGAAAATCTAGCTTAATTACTGTTCTCAATTCTAAATAAACTCAAAATCCTCGTTAAATCAAAGTCTTAAAATGGAAAAACCTAGGATATTGTGTTGACGTCGCGGCACCACCCCCTCAGTGCCATGGCACTGAGCTCTCTACCTTGGCTCGTCGTCTCTTCTTCTTAGTGTCCATGGTTGTAGTGCCTAACATTCTGTTTTGCCACATCTGTTTGCTGCACTATTTTAACTTATGACGTGATTTTCTTCTTTTCGAAGTTGAACTGGGCATAGGGGTAACCATCAAAGTTATATCCCTTTCTCTAAACTTTCCAGTGGCATAAGAAACACATCAATTGGACATCTAGAAGAGAGTTATACTCACAATACTAGAATATGTTTAGAAGAAGCATAGGCTTTGCATGCACTTTTCTTCAACAATTAAGGCCCTTTCAAGTGCATACTTACAAGAACAACAAACTAACTTAAATAATACTAAACTAAAGCAAATTATCACAAAATAACATAAAATAACTTAAATTAAATTGACCCAACAAGAGTTACTAAAATAAGATAAATAACTAATTCTTAAATTAAATCTCAAGAACTTAGCCTATTTAATACTCAAAATGTGATAAAATAACTCTATGAAATGGAGTTATCACTCCCTCAAACTTAAGATTTTGCTAGTCCTCAAGCAAAAAAAAAACG